TACACATGCTCTCGCACACACATTCCTTATCCCTAGAATGTATAAACTATTGGAGACAGGAATTTTTATATTTCTTTAGTGTCGCACCACAATATGCTGACAGAATAGACTGAAAATATGGTAATGTATTAGTGCTAAACTAAGTTTGTATAATTGAGCTATTTCTACTTCATGTAAAGGTTTTATGACAGCAGATGAAAGGAAATTATTCGACAACCTCAAATCGCCTCATCTGAAATATTGGGTTCCGTTCATCTGGTTTGGAAATCTTGCAGCTAAAGCCCGGGATGAAGGTAGAATCAGAGACAGTGTTGATCTGCAAGCATTGATGACTGTAAGTAAATAATAAGCCATCAGCCAAAAATACTGGCCTGGGTGCAGTGGCTGACACCTGTAATCACAGCTACTGGGAGGTCGTAGGTAGGAGGATCTCAGTCCATGGTAGCCCCGGCACAAGGTAAGACCCTATCTGAATAATAACCTAAACAAAAGTGCTGGAGGTGTGGCTCAAGTGGTAGAACACCTGCCTAGCAAGTTCAAGGCCCTAAGTTAAAAAAAACCCAGACACACACACACACACACACACACACACACACACACACACACACACACCATACATATAATATTTTTAGAGATAAGTAGCTAGATTACCAGATAGAGTTAGTCAAGGGCTCTGAAATTGACTGCTGACATACCATATTTGCCATCCCTGGCTTTGGGATTCTGGAGTAAAAGCTATAGGAAGAATAAATCGCCTCAACCATTATCCCAAATTGGAATATCCTAAGCTTAGCCCAGCTTTTCAGGGGCCCCAGTGAACAAAGAACCCTGAGTTCTTCAGAGAAGCAAATTTATGGAAGGCTGGACATTTGTGCCATGACAGGCTCTTGCCTGTAGTTGACTAAAAGAGAAAATGGTTTAAAAATAGCTCCCAAATGAAAGTGAGGTCTTTGTCCCCATCTTAGATAATATTTTATGTGGAATAGGGAAAAGGAATCAATGGATCTCAGCCCTTCCTGTTCCAAACAGATTATCAATGTAAGTGTTCGAGAGTCCCCATCTGTGGAGGGGAAGATTTAGAGTGTATTTGCATCTCTTTTCTAAGATCTCTTGTAAGCATGTTTTTAAAAGATAGAAAAAAATTGTTCCTCAAAACTCTCTAAATCAATTACTTCTTTAAAATATTAACTATTTCCTTCCCATCACCACCTTAAGAGAGAGAGAGAGAGAGTGTGTGTGTGTGTGTGTGCTAGAAATTATGGATTCAATAGAATGGGGAATATCTATAAAATCCTGTATTATTTTAATATTTTTTAAAACTCTAAAGTGAGTCTTTTTGCACATTGTTTAGTGACGTTCATTGCTTGTCATTTTCAGAACTTTCCTTGCTTAGTTACCTTAAGAGGCAATCTACTAGCCTTATAATGTCAGTTGCATCATTTTACAAGCATATTAATAAAAATATACCCATGTTTGAATCCTGGTCATTTTTTATTATCAAAGTCATCATTTTAGTAAACCATGTTTTATCTGTTTCCGGCTTAGGAAATGAATCAATACCGCTCTTGGTGCAGCCTCTTATTTGGTTATGACTGGGTAGGAATTCCGCTGGTTTACACCCAGGTATCAAATACTTTGCACATGATTTTTTATTTCTACCTGCACACCTTGGCAAGCTAGCAGTCTGGGCAACCAGCACTTTCCTTTCACTCTGATTTCTTTCTATTCCAGGTTGTCACTCTTGCTGTCTACACCTTCTTCTTTGCATGCCTGATTGGAAGGCAGTTTTTGGATCCCACCAAAGGCTACGCGGGGCATGACTTAGATCTTTACATTCCAATCTTTACCCTCCTACAATTCTTCTTCTATGCAGGATGGCTGAAGGTAGCCAATAGTCTCTGTGCCTGATACCCACTTTGTAACCTGGTCATGTTCCAAACTCCCCATGCTGATTTGTGAGGTTTTAGCAAATCATTCACCAGTGAGTCAAAGGTAGATTTACCATGTAATAGCTCAGAGATGGGATTACTTTCCATCAAGGATTAAAATGACAAATGTCATCAGACTGTATAGCAGCAGCAACCTGAAGCAGTTCACTGTGCAAAGAGATTAGAACACTCTCTTATAGCTATTGATTTTCTTAAGTCTCTGTGTGCTCCCATTAGGATTACAATAATGTAATTAAAGTAATAATTGTGGCTGCATTGATATTTTATACCACAGTGAGCAATTAGAGTGAAAGAAGCCTCAGATAGAAGCCTTAGGCATTAATATTGTAGTAGTATCTTGGTTCTGCTCAACTTTGTAAATTATAACTTACAGTTCCCTGAAATCCTACTAGCTGTCACACAACAGTAAATACATCCCATTTTCAAAACCAGAACTGAAACTCAAAAAGAACTCATCAGAATCAAAACCAGAAACACTAGGATTAATGATTATATTTGGTTTTGCAGGAATTTAAAAATAGGTCAGAGCAGAGAGAATGACTTATCCACTCTTCAGTATAGAACTCTATTTGTTTCCCATTGTCAGCACCACCACCCCACTCCTCTCAACACTCCCTGGATGTATGTGTATAACATCAGAGGCCTAACTCTTCCATCATTTTTGTAAACTACCAAATGGGAAGTATGTGATAGGAAAATCAAAGAATATGACTTCATTAAGTTAACTGAAATCTAAGGACAGTCTGAAGATGACTAACAAAACAGAATTTCCAAATGCTTGGCCTTCCAAATAGCCATAGGTTTGAGTCTTCAGGTCAGGGCAAATTTCTCCTGCAGAAGCCTTTTCTTTCATTGGTTTGAATCATCACCAGGAAAAATAAGTATGTTGGCATTTCAAATTATACTCCAAAGACAAATGGAATGTCCTTTAAATGGCAAAAACATTTTTAACCAGATGACATTGATTCTTAATTATTTTTACCCAGTTAAGAGAAAGAAAGCAGGAGAGATTAACAGCTCTCACTTCCCATTGGAGGAAAAAGTAGATTTTAACCTTTATAAGCATAAAATCACCACAGTTGATCCAAATGCTCAGTCTCTGATCTGAGTTTTGTTTGTTTGTTTATTTACTTTTTTTTTTCTGTCCTTTCCCTTGAGTTGTGCTGAACTTTTTATTCTTTGCTTTGTATCTATGTAAGGGCTAGGCTGACCTGTAAGAAGTTAGCAGTTCCTTTCTTCTGACATACTTGCTAAATTATTAACATCCTTTTCCCTTATAAAACATTTTTTTAAAAGCAAACATGCAAAGACACAATCATACCTCCACTGAGAGATAGTCAAACCTAGGGCTGGCAGAGTAGCTCAAGTGGTAGAGCGCCTGCCTAGCAAGTGCAAGGCCCTGAGTTCAAACTCCAGTACTGTCAAGATCAGAGAGAAAGAAGCTTACTAGTGTGAGCACCACCCTGCCCAGGGCTGGTCCTTAGAAAAAAAGAAAACATACTTCTCTATGTCAGTGGCTTTCAACACTGACCAGGCTCCAAAAGTCTACTGGGAGCTCTGTTTAATCCTGATGTCCAGGGAAGGGACCCAGAAATTTGTTTATTTATATGTTTGTTTCTAAGAACTCCCCAAGTGGTTTTCATGCACAGCTTGAAATTAACTGCTCTAAGTAGTTTAACTGAAATCCTAAAAACCAAGCAGGCAGAGATTATAACCAATGATCTCAGAATCTAGAATCTAGAAACTGATCAAATGATACCTTTATTTTATACACTTAAGTAATCTCCTTCTCTCTCTCTCTCTCATACACACACACACACACACACACACACACACATCAAAGGAAATTATTCAAAAAGGTGAATGACAAGCAAGTCCTATTTGACACATATACCTCTCAACAAGGAGGCTATTCAATCCAGAAACATGGCAAGAATATTTAATATCAACAATTTATTAGAAGATGTGTGATAAGCTACCTCAGCTTTTCCCAACAGGAAAACTAACTCATTGGATAGGGGTAAATCCTTTAGGGTAAAACTGAGTAAAGCCTCCGATTCCAGCTTGATGGCTTCTAGCTCTCAGACTCATTCACTTAGCAGTTGTGCCTAATAGTTGTGAAATCATCTTATATTTTCTTTGGCTGTAAGTTAAGTCCTTCTTGGCTGTTTAACCTTGTCTTATGATCTGGGCCTTGTAAATTCCTTGAAAGCACAGGGTACGTACCCTGCACAGTGCTTTGCACACAGTTGATGCCATTTCAATATCCATTGGTTTGGTTTGGCTCCTAAAAATGTATGTCCTCTCTGGAACAGGGCCTGCATTGTCAAAAGTTGAGTAGACAGATCCATTTGGAGGACACACGTACAAGGTACATCATTTATGGTTAGAGAATCAGTTCTCACATTCTAAGAAATATCTGTGTCTATAAAATAACACACTCCCCTTTTGCCTTTATATTGTGAAAGAGACAAAAGGAGAGAATAAAGCAAGAATCAACCTCCATCTCTGTCCTTAGTCTTCACAATCATGCTGATCTCTTCTGTGTTCTCAACTGCAGGTCGCTGAGCAACTTATCAACCCTTTTGGGGAAGATGATGATGATTTTGAAACTAACTGGTGCATTGATAGAAATCTGCAGGTTAGAGGAACTTTTCTTTCCTTTGTAAACAGCAACAATAAATCACTTGTGATGCTTCTAATTGAAACAGACTCTAGATGCAGGTCTCTGGACTCCAGAGCTTTAACCACAAATGAAAGAGGTTTGACTAGCCATTGAAACCTCACATGTCCTGGATCTCCATTCCAGTGCCTATTTAAATAGAATGTCAAGTCACTTTTCTCTGTAGGCATCTGTTTGCTTTGCCAAGCTTCTTCCATCTAGTGCAGAGCAGTAATTTCATTCATTCTTTTACCTGTTTTCTGTTACCATCCACAGAGGTTAGCAGTGACATAAAATGGCATCCAGACACAATCTGATGTGAATTCCCAAACTCATCGTACCCAGACCCCAGCTCAATTGTACAGGGGCTAGACCCTGAGAGGGAGCCCAGGTCACCTTGACCTTTTCTCACATCTGCCTAAGACACACAAAATGAACTACCTTACCCTGAAGGTTTTTTCTTCACAACCAACTTTTCCTGAAGAGCCAGCATGAGGAAGTTTAATTCCTAGGGCAGACTCTCTTCAGGCCATTCTCTTCCCTGAAAACAAGGAATAAGGGCTTCACCTTATCTGCTTATTTCAACTCCTGGCTCAGCTTTGAAGTTCATATATTTCACCATAGATCACATTGTTGGTCTTCTAGGGAAGACGCATAATGCCTCTTTGTCGAACTGGCTTCCCAGAGAATTAGTAATTTATTTATATGTCACTTTGTCAAAGCCAAGACATGAGAGAAATGACTACAGCTCCAAGCAATCTAAAGGCCTGTCAGTATGCTTCTCCAAATAAACAAGAAACCAGGGCATAGAAGAAGCGATATCAAGTAGAAATGTGCTCATGGGGTTAACAGAATGAAATATTGAGATGTTCATGTTTCTGTACTCGCTGGAGTGAAGTGATTGCTGTCAGACTAGCCACAGAGACAGTAAGTAACTAGGAACCAGGAAGGAAATGATGTCTCGCCCCATCTCCCTGCAGGTGACATGAAGTTCCATGTGCAGTTTGTGGCTTGATAGATTGAGTGCTGGCAGCTCAGCAACCTGCCTGACACTATGGCCACATATGCTCTAAGCAGTAAACACCAGGTGCAACTCTGCAGCAGCCCTGGTTGCAGTAAACATGCACTGTAGACATTTGCATATTCACTCATTTAGGCAGTGTCTTATCACTGTCCTACTCCCAGTCATCTACTGGAAATTCTTCTTTTTTATGTAATCCATATCTGAGCTACTCTGACAATATGACGATGATTTTAGGTCTCTCTTCTAGCTGTGGATGAAATGCACATGAGTTTACCCAAAATGAAGAAGGACATTTATTGGGATGATTCTGCCGCTCGACCACCATATACCCTGGCAGCTGCCGACTACTGCATACCTTCATTTCTGGGGTCAACAACCCAAATGGGGTAAGTGTGTTTTTTGTTTTTGTTTTTGTTTTATGTCTTCAATATCTAGAAAATAACTCAGTTACTATTCTGATCTTTTGACTTTGGGAGACTATTTTTTTTCTGACCGTGCTTAATATATACAAATCAGTGTAGTCAATGGTTTTAATCTAATCCTCCTTCCTTAGGTACTATAAGCCTGGACTCCTGAAGTAATTCATGCATAGCTCTAGAATAATTGTATTAAATCTGATAATGTATCTGATTTTGGAGAAATGTGTGAATGGGGAGAAGTTTATTTGTTGAAGGCAAATGCCATAGTCTCTACGTAACTGAAAGAAGAGGGTGCAGACAAATTTAGAAAATAATAACCCTCTCCCCCAAAAAAGACTGTAAAAAAAAAGGGGAAATCCTGTGGAATTGTTTTGGGGTTTTTGTGGGGGAGGGTTTGGTGGAACTGGAGTTTGAATTTAGGACTTTGCACTTGCAAAGCAGGCAATGTACTGTGGAATGGTTTAGGAACTTTTATGGCAAAACTGTGGCTATTCCTTGAGGCTAGCTCTAGCCAGATGGTGGAGCGGGTTGGTGTCCTGTCATTGCCACTGTCACCTTCTTTCTTCTCTTCCCACAGTGTTCTGCTTCCCAATTCCTTATCTTTAGGATATCTAGCTTCTCTCCTAGTCCTATAAAGCTTCACTCTTAAACAAATGTTCCCTAATCCTTATAAATAAATAGTGGTTTGCAGTGCTCCTCTTTCAAAGGGGGCTCTGAGGATGAAAGCACTGGAAGAGCCAAAGCAAAGGTGACTGACAGTGAACATTCACTAGCTGTGGCAGATAACGAAAAAAGATTTAGGAGCCACGAGATTAGTGTTGGCACCTCCAAGGACACCTAAGACAAGGTTACCCACAGCAGGCTAGACTTGCTTCTGCTCCCAAACAGCCTTCGAAGACTGGAACTTCTCATCTAGTGTTCTTCTAGGCCAGATTGCTCACTCCTCCCCTAGCCCATTGCTCAGTCTCTGTGAAGAGCAACTTATCATTGTCACACTTGTCAGCCTTTGTCATTCCTTCTGCCATGGCAAGTTTCATGGCTATAGGGCAAGCTTCTCACTTTTGAAAATTCATATTTTTTTCTTTGAGTTTTAGATAATTAAATATGTTGTATTTTTCCCCTACTCTCACCATGGAGAAGTGGTCTAACTTATAAAAGGAGATCAATACCACTGATAGAGTCCAGAAATCCCTGCAGTGATTTTCCTAGAATATATCTGTTTCTCATGACCATCTAGTTATTTATTTGTGCAATGGTTAAAATTATTTGAGTGGGGGGGAGTGCTCAAGATTTTTATTTTTACCTACATAGCTGTCCTAATTATAATTGTTCAGATTCCTAAGCAAATTTCTATATTCTTCACAAAGTATTAAAACATGTGTTTCTCCTGTTTCTAAATATGGAAACATAGTAAGTAAGGATTTACAAGACCTCAGAGACAATGCCTACCCCCAAAGGATTACTGTTGGGATTAAATGAAATTGTAACATAAAAACACTCTAGATATAACTATAGATTATTATTATTATTATTATTATTATTATTATTATTATTACCAGCTAGTCAGGTCTTTCGTTTGTGGATTTCTAACTGGGTCACAGAAAGATTAAGCAGATCTAAGTTTTTTTTCATATTAAACTAACCCTTAGAATTTGGTACTTAGGACAGAAAATAAAATGAGAGAAAAACCATGAGATATGATATTTAAGACTGGAGTTAAAATCTATCAGTTGTCAGAGAAAACAACTCTACGCAAAATGTCCTATTTACCAGCATGGAGAGGCACAGGTAAGGCTGGTGTCTTTGGACGAGTTTTTGGTGAGATGTCTGGCTGAACTGTGCTAGAATGAACTGATAAATGAAATGATTAGGCAAAAGCTGACATGCTCTTGATTTTCTGCATAGATGAGGATTATTAAAGGGAAGTTTCATGATCCAGGAAAAGTCACCTTAGGAGCACAAGCTGTGGGAAGTCAAGAATTCACAAGAATGCCCTATTTGATCATGAGTGTTGACTCTTCCTGTGATGGTGGGGTTCAACAAATATTTCTGATCACCTGTGACAGAAAACCAAACACTAACTTAAGCAAAAGGAAGTTTATTGGATCACACCCAGAGACCAGTCTAGCTTTGGACATGGCTGGATCCAGAGGCTTAAAGAATGTAACTTGACTCACTATTGTTGCCTGTCTCTCTCAGTTCTCTGTCTCTCTCCTCTGGCTCAGTTTTCAGGCAGGCTCTTCTCTCTCAATGGCAAAATGCAAGATGGCAGCCAGCAGCTCCAGGCTTGTAACTTACCTTTCAGCTAACCCTGTGGAAAGGACACATCTCTTTCCAACTCTTGAAACTCAAGTGCTGGCATTGCTGTGATTGGCAAGACCTGGCTAACACATCCATTCCTGAACTAATGACAGACAGGGAGACCCAATAACTTGATTATCCAAGCTTGGCTCATGTGTCCATGCTTGAATGAACATATAAAATCCTTTCTTGGATGAGCAACTTTTGTGTTTTGTGTTCTGCTTAGGGTTTATATCCCCAGCATATTTCATTCAGAAATCAAATTTCCTTTATAATCTCATATCAACTTTTCAGATTCTAAAGTCAAGGCAATGTCCTTCAAAAACTAGAAAAAGTACTATCCAAGGGCAATCTGAGAAATTACTCTGCCTCATATTCAGCAGTCAGAAATGGCTTTCACAGTCAGCATGTAATTCACTTCCATATAAAAAGGAAATCGCTTTGTTCTCAGCATTAAGGAATATGTTCAAAACACAGCCCAATTTTTTGTGTATTTGCTAGATATACATAACTGTAATAAACTTAGTTCATTCCCCTTTCTAAATCTTAAGCACAAGTTTAAAATATGTTTTTGCTTATACCTTCATATATGGGATGCACTCATTCATTTATTCAGGTAAATTTTTTTCAGAGTTGATACTATGTAGTAAGCTTTATGCCAGACACTAGACATAGACATGGAAAGGAAAAAAAAAAACCTCTTAAGCTTACAGACATAATGAAGAGACAAGTTACAATGTGGTAAATGCCACAATAGAGAAATACTTAGAGTAGTACAAGAACACACAGAATGAAGATATATTTCACCCAGCCTGGTTAACCAGAGAAAGGTGCTTGAAGTTAGGGAGTACAAAATACATCTTTAAGAATGAGTTACAGAAAAAACATGAGTTAGGATGGGCTGGGAGATGGAGGGAGTCAATAGAGGGCATATTCCAGGCCAATGTGAACAAAGAGGGACAAGAATGACAAATGGAATAGTCAAAGGAATAATTTGATATGCAAAGAGAACCAAAAAATACATCTGTAGAGGAAGCAAGGGCAGATTATGAAAGGTTTTATAGGCTGAGTAAAAGGCCTCAGCCTTTATCCACAGCTATTAAATGACATGGTTACATTTTTGTTTTAGATAGGTTAGCCTGGCAGCCGACTGAAAGATGGATTGCTGGGGATAAGAGGAGAGCCAGCGAGACCAGTTAACAGGCTATTGTCACTTAACCAGGAGAGGATGAGTACCTGACAGGTAGCATTAAAAGGGATAATGGAGAAGACACAGGGTGAGGGGAGGGGAGTGACAAGGGGCTGGGGCTGGCCCCAAAGAGGGAGGCCTCAGTCTGTGAGCCAGAGGGAAGAAGCTGAAACTGGAGGTAGTAAGGGAGAGAGGGAGAGGGGGAGGTGGTACCTGTGCAACTAGTGAAGTAGGAAGCAATATGTCCCGCTCATTCAGGCTTCATCCTGCCCCAATCCAGAAGAAGTCTTAACAAGGTCCATCTTTCTCTGTCCAATCTAAGACCAAAAAGCTATTTTTAAAACTCTGTTTTATTTTTTTCCTTTTAAAGACACTTTATTTAATAAAAATTGTTGATTCAGTAACATATTATAACCACACCTGAACAAAGTTTATCATATTTTGTCTTAAGGCACATCATAGCTTTCTTGCATTTAGAATACTTTACAGTACTTCAGTACTACACTTGTGAACCTTTTTTTAATTTAATTTGATTTTATTCTTACTGTTTTTGCATTTACTTAAATGTACATACATTATTTGGGCCACCTCCCCCCTTGCTCTGCTCCCCCCACCTTGGGGCAGGACCTTTTCTGCCCTCTTGTTCTCCGATTTTATAGAAGGAAAAACAAAAGGTAATAGAAAAACATGGCATTTTTGCTAGTTTGAGATAAAGATAGCTATATAGGGAGATTCGTTGTTTTGTTTCCATGCATATATGTATTAAAACCCAAATTGGTTCATCCAATTTCACTATTTCCTAGTCCCCTTCCCATAGTGGCCTTGGCCAGTTTAAGATTACTATATTCGCTACTATATAGTGAGCATATCGACCACATTCAAGTTTTTGGTTTCCTTCCCTTGCCCTATCCCTCCCGTGCATGGACTCCCCTTAGTGTGTGTGACCCATGTCCAATAATATTACTGCACTTGTTTTAATCTGCATATGAGGGAGAACACGAGATTTTGGGCCTTTGGCCTTCTGAGACTGACTAATTTTGCTTAAGGTGATGTTCTCCATTTCCATCCATTTACCTGCGAATGACAAAATTTCATTCTTCTTTGTGGCTGAATAAAATTCCATTGTGTATAAATACCACATTTTCTTAATCCATTCATTAGTAGTGGGGCATCTTGGCTGTTTCCATAGCTTGGCTATTGTGAGTAATGCTGCGATAAATATGGGTGTGCAGGTGCCTTAGTAGCAACTTGAGTCACATTTCTTCAGGTATATTCCTAGGAGTGGGATTGCTGGATCATAAGGCAGATCTATTTTTAGTTTTTTAAGAAGCCTCCATATTGTTTTCCATAGAGGTTGTACCAGCTTACATTCCCACCAGCAATGTATGAAGGTTCCTTTTCCCCACATCCTCACTAACATTTGTTGGTGGTGGTGTTCTTGATGGTAGCTATTATAACATGAGTGAGGTGGGATCTT